TGGGCGGAAAGCTGGTTTTCTCAAAGCCTGGGGGAGAGCTGGGCTCTGAAGGGCTCTGTGCTGGTTTTGGCTGGGGTAGAGTTAGTTTTCTTCACAGTAGCTGGTATGGGGCTGTGTTTTGGATTTGTGCTGGAAACAGTGCTGATAACATGGGTGTTTTTGTTGTTGCTGAGCAGTGCTGACACAGAGTCAAGGCCTTTTCTGCCCCTCACCCCACCCCACCAGCGAGCAGGCTGGGGGGGCAGGAGGAGATGGGAGGGGACACGGCCGGGACAGCTGACCTCAACTGACCCAAGGGATATCCCACACCATATGGCGTCGTGCTCAGCACATAAAGCTGGGGGAAGAAGGAGGAAGGGGGGACGTTCAGAGTGATGGCGTTTGTCTTCCCAAGTCACCATTACGTGTGATGGAGCCCTGCTGTCCTGGGGATGGCTGAACACCCGCCTGCCCATGGGAAGGAGTGAATGAATGCCTTGCTTTGCTTTGCTTGTGTGCGCGGCTTTTGCTTTGCCTGTTAAACTGTCTTTACCTCAACCCACGAGTTTTCTCACTTCTACCCTCCCAATTCTCTCCCCCATCCCGCTGCGGGGGGGAGTGAGTGAGTGGCTATGTGGGGCTTAGTTGTCGGCTGGGGTTAAACCACGACAGGCTCATAGGCCAGCCAGGTTTGTGTGTGTTCAGGGAACTCCTGGGGCCATGCCCTCAGGCTGTGTCTGCTCTGGAGCCATGTTCCTCTGCTCCTCTTCAGTCTCCTTTCCCCCCGTGACCAGCCTTGCCTGAAGAATAGCTCCAAATACCTGCTTCAAATCTTGCTCCTCCAGGGAACCTGGGAGATGGCAATGCTGCCTTGTTTTTCCCTACTTCGTTAAAATCATTGTTGTCTCTGAGTTGCAGAATTGGGCCTCTTATTTCTCAAGGTTTAGAAATTTTTCTTATGATTGTGGTTAAGGTAGTTGGGGAATAAATCCTGCCCTGTACACTGTGTGGGCAAAAAGCTTCTCTGACAGCTGTAGCCAGGGACAAAGCACAGCCCCTTCTGTGCCCTCTGTTTTAGGGGTTGTCTTCCTTTTACTCAGTGCTGTGCAGAAGGTTCACTGCCAGCGAACTGTCAGTCTGGGACTGATCCCTTACTCCAACCCTTCCTGCCATTTATGCTATGGAAGAAAGTAGGCAGGAGCCTGTTATCGAAATCCCAAGATGCAAGGGATGAGTGATCCAGATTCAAAATGCTGTTGTTGAGCAGAATCAGACCTCGGCTAGATACACAACTCTGAAAGTTTTTTGTGAATCTTGGTTAGTTTTCAGATTCTGCCTCTTGGGCTCTTCTCTGTACAAAACTGCTTAAATTAGAAAGAAAAAGAGTGGCGTAAACATGTAGGATTTAAGTAGAATTTCTGCTGGAAACCACCTAATGTTTTATTAACAAATTGCCCCGTGAAATTAAGTGAATAATAGATGAATGTAGCTCTGGTGGGACACGAGAACCTGACAGCGGAGTGTGTTTGCAAGGTGATGGGCAGGTTGCAGGCTTCTGTGATAAATAGTCACGAGTGGGGCAAAGCCACCTAGACACCTTGCAGTAATAGCTCTTCTGACAGGCATAAGAACAGCTACTGGAGCAAAGCAGTCTGGAACTGGACTGAACTGTGAAACCAAAAAGTCCTTTGGCATGAAGAAGACCCTGCTATTGCATCCTTCTTTGTGATGGGAGTGTTTCCATAAGAGTAGCTCTCCTGGATCAGGGTTGGGTGGGAAGAGAGGAACAATGCTTGGTTCTAGGGATGCTGCAGATACTGAATGAATAAAATGGGGTGGCTTTGGACCATAGCCTGTTCAAATTCTGCTGCTACCACCAGCTTTGGGTGTTGTTCAGGCTTGTTACGATCTTGCTAGTGTTTGCCTTGTTCAGACCTCAGAGATATGGCAGCCCCAGCAGAGCTGAACCAGATGCAAATGGGAAGTGTGCCACATTTACTGCTTAGGATGAAGGGTCAAGTTGCTCCCAAAGGAAAAGCTTCTTGTCTGATCACTACGGTTCACTTATTCTAGTAGCCACAACTAATGCTGATACCCAATAGCATCCTTATTTGGGACACCTCTTAACCACTTTAATAACTGTTCGGAAGTGCTGCCTATTGCCTTGGTAAGCCTGTACCTGTTCTGTGTATCCTGCTATCAAACCTTCTGCTGATGGCCCCACAGGAAGGCAGAGCCAGAGGACGCTGCCTGGGTCAAAAAAGCCCCTCGTAGTCTCTGGCAGCCATGTAATTAACTGCCCAGATGTAGCACAGAGCTGTGTCCTCTCCGCAGCTGGGAGTGATTCTGTGTTAGGCACAGCTGGCAAAGCACTGATGAGGCCAGGTGCTGCAGCCTGGGCTGTGCTGCCCTGGGAAGGCCAGCGTGCTGCAGGGGGGTGAGGAGTGGTTCCTGTGGCTGGACTCGAGGACTGCGGGGTGTTGGAGTTGCTTGTGGATGCAGGGCTGTGCAGACGGCAAGGTGTCCCCTTGTAGGGGAGGGCATGTATTTATGGAGGTACGAATGGGTTCTGAGCATAGGGGCAGAGCTAGGTGCTGAATGTACAGATGTGTGGGAACCATGGCCCCATGAAGGAGCAAGTTCTGTTGTTTACTTGCACTGTGATGTGCCTTTACACAAAGGGCCAGCTCTGGGCTCTTGTTTGCCTGCTGAGGGTGCAGGCATGAGTCAGGTTTGGAAAGCAGCAAGTCTAGAGCAGAGGAGAGCGTGGTGGGTCACTGCTCTGAGAGGTGTTAGCAGTCTGTGCCAGACAGCAATGGGGAAATCGGGGACACCTGGAGATGCAAACAGTCATCAACGTAAACCAGCCTAGAGGAGTGTGTGATGACGATGCTCAGGACACCTCCAACAGGGAGGCTAAAGGCTGCTGGGAACATCCAAGGATTTCAGGTGCTATGTTGGAAGGTTAAACTGCCCACAATAAGTGAGACCTCTTTCCAGACCACAGCAGTATATGTAAGCATGTCTCTTTGAATGCTTTGGCGTAGCCCCACTGAATAACAAGCTTTTTCTGCCATGGTTCTGCAGTGAGACCAGAGCTGTCAGATTGCCCTTGGTTGCCACCTGTGGGGCTCATCTTGCTGCCCGTCTAAAGGAATTCCTGTTTTTGACAAGACTTCCAGCAAGAGCTCCTCCTCAGCCCAGACAAATTACATACAATTCTTGGATTATGCCACCAGATTTAATACTCATATGAAAAAGTTCTTATGGTTTTGTTCCACATTGGATCAAAGACAGCTACTGTGAGAACACATCTATATAAGCTGTGAATATTTATTATCAGCTCGCAAAAAGTAGAATTTTGTTGTACTCACATGGGATTTTTCATGTTTTTCCCTCAACTGTGCAAATGAATCACAGTGCGTGTGGTATATACAGGCAGATGTCAGCTTTTTATTATGACAAACTCTGGTCGTCTTACTCAATCATGAATTGAAAACACATGGCTTTAGTATGTAGGGCTTTTTTACTCATTAAATGCTAAACCTGTAGTGGCAGTTTCCAGGGACTTTCTGTCCAAATTTCAGCGTGCCTTCAAAAGGAAATCGGGTAAGTGCTTTATAGGAGAGCCAACAGTCCTGCAGCGAACCTTGCAGCTGCAGAAATTTATGATACTACTTAACATTTAGTCTTCAGAGTGTTTTCTGGATGTAACTCATCCCCCGAGATCCAAACTCCTTTAGGCAAATAGGAGATTTGCTGAATAGCAAGGTTTGGGAGAAGGAATGGACCTATTTGTAAACTTAGACCAGTTATGCTAAATTAAGGAGGACTAAATGGAGGAAGCAAATTGGGGAGAATATTTAAAACTACTGGTACAAATGAAATTTTGTAACATATTTTGAAATGCTGCTTGTTCAAAAATTGGACTACATTTACTAAAATATAAATAAAAGCCACATAACGGTAAAATAAAGGTGTCATAATCCTCAAATGAGAAAATTTTCATCTCAAATTAATCCAAATGTTTAGGATTTACCCAAAATGAAATTGGGGCTGAGCAGAGTATGGAGAGAAGTTTGTTGCACCAAAACCATTTCTTAATGAGAATTTATTTTTGTCCTCTTTTTTATTTTGCCACAGCACAGAGAAATGTATTATTTCCTGAGTTCTAAACTATGTTGTTACCCCCACGAAGCGATATATCTTCCTTTACTAGCACAGGGAGAGGAGCAAGACAGGATGAGTGCTTAAGTGAGGATGGGCAGGTTTGTGGTGGATCAGAGATCAAAGAGAGCTGGTTCACAGTGGTGCAGAGCCCAGGAGCAGCTCGGCCTCCTCGGGGCTGAGGCTGGGGACCTCTGGAGTCTCTTCTGTGGCTCTCCCAGACAGGGCTTCTTCGTCATTCAGGTTGTTTTCCCCTCCACGAGTGAAACGGGAACAGCAGAGTTAGACGGTTCTAGACTGAACAGTCAAGGCAGGAGAAAGTACCTGGCAGCGTGCGAGAGCTGTCCCTGAGGCTGCTACAGGCTCGCCACAGTGCTCAGAGTCAAGGGCACAAAGCCACCCACCGGGTTTTCTGCATCTCCTGGTCTGCACAACCCCATCCAGCTGTGAGTCCCACAGAAGCCCTGTGCGACGGCCTGGATGGGTCGTTATCGGAAGGGACACGCTGAAGCAGAGGCATTGACGCTGGCTTTATTCAAGTGAGGAACAGCGTGCAGCCTAATAAGGAGTATAATTTTTTTCATGGTGCATAATGATCTGCCCTGTTTTCCATACAAAAAAATGCCTACAACTCTTGCCAAACAGCCTTGCCTCATCTCCTTCTTTAAAAGTTCATTCACGGTTACAGCCACAATTGCAGCTAACAAACAGTTTACCAGGAGTAAACAAGGCTCTGCATTTTGGGTCAGCTCGGAAGGTTTCCTGGTGTCCCTGTGACTCATCACTGGAAGGGTCATCCCGAAACACACCCCCCTGGTGATGTGATCTTGGTACAGTCCAAAGAGTTCCAGGTTAAGAAGCCGAGGGGATCTTTGTTTGCAGGAGTCATTTTGGAGTTTGATGTGCCTCAGAGCAGGGACAGACCTCAGCCAGGTAAGTGCCAGAGGTAGCCTGTAAACTGGTATTTACTTGATTTGCACTTTTGTCACCAGGATGAAAACTCTCTGTATTACTAGTCATGAGCACTTCAGCCAGCACAGTGAGAAAATGCTTTCGTCTACTGCGGTAATGTACGTTTCTTTCAGAAAGCCACATCTGACTTTGAGCCAAGCGTTCATTGTGATTTATTGCAAAAGTATGGTTGCTCTCATTTCTTCTGGGATAACCACTCTATCGCTAGTCTTCTCTCTACAGGCATCATTAACAGTTATACCGAAAAAAGGGGCCAGACTGATAAACTGTGATTTGATCTCAGTGCTCATATAATTCCATTCTCCATACTGTCTCTGATCTCCCAAAATACTGTCAGTTCTCTCTGTGGATTCTTTCATTGTGAAATTCAAGTGCGTATTTTACTTTTGTTGTTGTTCTTGTGAAGGAGAGATTTTTATACTGTGCCTAAAATAATGGATAAGTGGATACATAAATAATGGAGTGGCCTGATAGGGAGTTACCCATTAATTTACAATCATGGTCTCTTTTTAAACTAACTTTTATGAAAAGGCAAAATGGAGAGATACTGGAATTCTGAAGAAAGTTGTTTCCTGTCGTTTCAGCACAAAAGCTTGGCTTGAACGAATCAACTGACATTGCTGTTAGCGTTTTCTTTAGAGCTTGTTACAGATCTCTTGACTTGGATTAATGTTAATTGTAATAATTGGCATCTACCGTACTAAATTACTTTTTTTTAAATTCAAAACCGGAATTGTACCTCTCTAGTTAGCTGCAAATCTGTCTGGTTTTGAAGCTAAGTGGAACCCACTGAAGGTCAAGTTTTCCGAAGTATGCAGACACCTGTGCACTTTGGAAAGTCCTGTCTGCATATCCTTAAAAATATGTCCCATGGCCACTTTGTGTTTTCGCTAAAAAGAGAGACATTATATTAGTTTAGCTAAAGGATCGAGCTGTGCTAGGATTGGATCCCCTGCAATATACACAGCACGGAACAGGACTCCCTTCACTAGAGAAACAAAGTGGCAGCATAAAATGAGCGATTGCTGTCCTGAAATAGAAACGACCACCCTGAGTACTTGCTTTTGAGTCCTGTTGAAAAGGTAGCATGTGCCCGCAGTGCTGGCGCACGGCTGTTTAGAAAAGCATTTTAATCTTGCATGTCAACTGCAGGCAAATAGGCGCATGTTGATCTGTAGTGCTGTATATTCATCTTTGTACCATCACCCAGGCTGCTCTAGGAGTCAGAGACCCTCTGACTGTGCGGAGAGTTCTGAATTTCTGAATGCTGGCTGAGATCTAGCAAGGGACTCCAGCATTTGCAGTGGGGACAGAGGCAAAATGCTGGGGCCTTAAGGCTAAGATGTAGTCTAAAAAACTTCACTCGAGCCACTGCTTAACGCCTAAACTTTTATAGTGCCACACAGTCCTACAGCTCATGTACTTTGTGTGCCCTTAACTTAGTACATGCTCAGTACAACAGAGCTGCTCGGTGCACTGTGGATTTCCAGGTGCGGCTGCCAAACAAATTGTGCTTGCGGCTGGGCCCCTTGGGGTCGTGGTGCAAGAGGCCTTCCAGCAATTTGCTTGTTACGTGTGGACAGGACCGAGAGCCACACAAAACACAGTGGCAAAAACCCCCACTTTTCTAGTTTGGTTGAAGGCAGCGGGGCAGCATGTGCTGCTTTTTGACAGCAGTAGCCTCTGCCTGAGAGCACTCGCTGAGAAGTAATTCTCTGTTGGGTGTGAGCAGAGTCGGGCCGCTGGGCTCCCCTCGGGGGACCGACCTTGGCACCCAGCTGCAGCCCTTCCAGCCGCAGGTGTGCACGGCAGGGGGAAGGTGAGCTGGGAGCGTGGCTGAGCTCAGTCCCTGGTAGCCTGGTCCTTACAGTATTTAGTTGAACTGAAGGAAAGGAGCCCTGGGTTTTCATGTCTGCTCACAATGTTCTTTAAGCATTTTAGCTATTGAAGGTTTCACCTGGAAACCAATCAGTTGGAGGCAAAAGTCTGCTCTGCTGCTGACTCCATTCTTTTTTAAATCTTTGCCTTTGCCCAAGGGGAGAGAGAAAATGGTTAAAAGCTATTTCACAGGCAACTATACTGGGATAAACTCCCATAAAAAAGGCAAGGAGGGGAGAGAGAGAGTAAAGCTAGAGTTTACCCTCTGTGAGTGTGTTCTGCCAGGACTTCGAGTGGTTTTGACCATGAAATCAGCAGTGTATCACTGAGTAATCCCATGCACACGCGCATGTTGATTTCGCTCAGTTTTCAAGCTGAAACGATCACACACACCCCTGACCATCAGCCCTACAAATTCAGCCTCCTTCTGCTCGTGCCAGATGGAGTCCTTCCCCCTCGGGCATAATCACCTGTAAGTGCAGCTTTTCTCAGCTGCTGTTTGCTCTGCTGTCCAGCCCCAGCACCGTCAGTTCATGCCCCTGAACGCTGCAGCAGCTGTGCTTCTTACTGTGGGATGGGGGGGCTGCAGCACGCAGTTAGCCCGCACCTCACACCCCAAAGGGCTGCAGAGCGTTTGCAGGGCATGAGCCCTGACTCCAGCACTCCCTTCCTGAAGGGTAAGAATGGGCTTGCGTTTGATCTCACCAGGAACCGACTAGAAGAGAGGTGGGAGAGAGAACAAACTGAAAATCAATGCCAGGGTTCCTGGCGGAGCTCCTGCTCAGCCCCCGGGCTTATGGGAACAGCAGGCTTGGTCCTGAACTGACACCCACCCTCCTGAACCGTCTTTCTTGGACACAGGCTTTGCAGTACGAACTCCATTCTGGCTCCCAGCTAAAGTGCCATAGAAAGTCTCTTCGTCCCAGTGAGACCTGAAAGAAAAGCCTGGTTAAACACCATGATGTTGCAGTGCAAGTGTTGTGATTCATTTCATTGCAGCAAAGCTTGCAGATGCATTTTCATTGCATCTGGTTTGTAACCAGATGATTCTGCCAGTCCTTGATGCCGTCTATGAAAGCAAACAGGTTGTGGCCAGTCCTGTTCCTGGTGTCCAGTTAGTCTCCCCTGCATTTCTGCTCAGAAGTGATAGGATATGGGCAGATATTTTCAGAGGAAAATATGTGAGTTTTCCTCTCTCAGTTTTAATGCTAAGTATGGCAAAACTGCACAGCAGAACAATGTTGGCACCTTCCTATTTCTATGAGAAGACAAATGCTTGTGTCTCCTTCCCTTAGCCAATTCTTGAGCTGAGCTAGACAGAGAAACCTTTCTATGCCTATTAAAGTACTGAATTACAGAGGCCATAAAATAGTCAAATTAACCTTATTTTATTGAAAAATCCAAAAGCTGGATAAAAGAAGGGTTAATACCGCACAATCACATTATCCCCAGAGCACGCGATAAAACTTGGTATTTCATCCAAGCAGGGAGAGCATTGCCATCCAAAACAACTGAGAGGCCCTGGGACCATGGTCATTAATACTGGACCGGGTGCTATTAAATTATCCTGTGCAGCAAATTTGATCCAAATTGAATATGCTCTTACTAATGCAATTGCATATCCACACAATACAGATTTAATGCTGGCTTTATATTTTTATATTGGCTTATGCAGAAGAAGAGAGGATACCCAATCCAGCATAAAGACTCCCAGTGCAGTTAATGTGTTGAACTGTTAAAAGAATTTTAATGAGTAGATTTCTCCAGTAGCGATGCTCTGTGTTACGGGCAGTGATGCTTCTGATGTATCAGTAGCAGTGGAACAGCCAAGATCATGAAACCGCAGCATATGTCAGGTGGAAGCTTTTCAACTGCTTTAAATTCCCCTGCACTCTTGATAGGAATTTGCAAAGTCACTGCTTTGTAAGGACCTGTGATCATTCTGCACAGGAAGAGAAGGCAATAACCTTTTCCAGCTGGAGCCCTGGAAGTGCCGTTAATTAGTGCTACAGAAAACCAGTTCAGAGTAATTTAAAGCTTTTGGCTGCAGGGCTGCTTTTTGAGAAGCACGCACTGATTTGATTGCTCTGAAGCAAGCTATGAGTTTGGAGGAAGAGATGTTTGGGAAAATACTAAACTGTGTTTGCAAACAGTTAAATACTTGAGTCCCTGTTTTGCTGTCACAGTCCAAACAATTGGCTTGGAGGCTTGGTGATAAGTCAGTATTGAAAGAACAGAGTCTAGATTTGGGAGGGTTTTGTACGTTGTCAAGACAGGCACACAACTGCAGTTACAAAAGAGAAACCCAAGACCCAGGTGTTGGCGGTTGTTATTATCGGTAAGGCTACTGTTTGCATGAAACAAAAGCAAGCTTGGTACCTGCAACTGCATAATAATCTTAAAACCAGGATGCTACCTCAGAGAACAGCATATGCTGTGTGTACCCTTTCTGGCATTGTGGTTTT